GCCCCAACAGTGCTCACTGGAACCTTCAGAAGTTTAGACATTCTTCTGTAACCGATGCCATCATTATGCTTTGCAACATATTCATAAAAGAAGCCTTTTTATTCACTTCCGTTTCCAATCATTCACCGCTTCCTTGCAATCACATTTGGGACTGGGATTTGGGACTGAACCAACTGATATTAACTTGCACTGACAAGGGGCAGGGTTGCTTTCAAATTACTGAGAGAGTTCAGCTGGTGTCTTGGCTTTCCATGCCTTTTTACACCTCCCTTTCTTCATGTGTTCAATACTTTTTCCCTGTGCCATTCCACATTATTACAAATAACTTCATTTCTGGACATTTATGGTTTGATTTCTTTGTATAAATGGATCACTTGGGTTGTTACTGACATCTGGTGAAAATTTGTCATTAGCACCTCTAGKAATATATTTACTGAGAAAAATGTTGACATGTTTAAAACTTATTTTACCCGCCGTATGTCACAACAACACGGTTTTTCTTAGATTAAAACAACAAAATGAAAGTTTCACTCCAGGCAGTGTACAAAAGACACAGTTTGGCTGCAAATCCTCTTCAAGGTAGGATGAGAACTGTCCTTCACTGTAACCGATTTCAAATGGTGCTAGAAACAGAAGTGGACTCTGAACACCAGAAGAAATCGGTCAACCTTGGAGAGAGGACAAAGGGCTTGAAGTGTGAGAACGTCCCTGCAGAGTCACGGTTCATAGCTTCAGGGATAGATGTCTCTTTCAGTCACCTTCATCACCAGATGCATTTTCTGATAATCACCTGCATATCGCTGGTGAAGCGAAACACACTTCCCACCCACAGAACACTGATTTCAAATGGTGCTAGACAGATGGCATTACTCTAAGCCACCATCTGAAACCAGCTTCCAAAGGGGGCACTTCTGGTAAAAAAACATTATCTGGGATAAAGACCTGGTGGAATCTGGAAAACAACAAAAAGAGGAGTTAATTTTACAAGAAAGTTAAATTTTAAACTATTCCTAATTCTAAATTATAAAAACTCAAATAAATGTATAATAATTATGATATTAATGTGAAACAAACATCACGAATTCTATATAACTGATTGAAGAAATGTTTTACCTCTAGACCAGAGGTGTCAAACTCATTTTTTCAGAGGGCCACATGAGCATCATGGTGGTCTTCAAAGGGCCAGTTGTAATTAATTATATTTCATGTTTAACTTTGACTAAACAGAAAACGTCACGTTCCTCATCTCATTGTTATGGCGGAGCACTGCTAACAAACAGTAATTAAGCTCTATGTGGTATTTCCTGCACTGAAACAGCATTTTAACAAAATAAAATAAATAAAGCTTGTTTTACATTCTAATATCTGATGTAAAAGATGTTAGGTTTCTGTACATGTGACTTTACGGGGGTGGGGGTGGGGGGGGGGGGGATTCATCATTATTCTTAAAGTGCAGCCTGGAATAGACACTGGACTTTTGCTTTTCTTATAAAACCCAAGGCCTCAAACTCACAGGCCCTGCCTGGCTGACGCCTGTGAGCTGGAATGGAGTTAAGTCGTTGTGTCCTTGGGCAAGACACTTCAACCACCTTCCCTACTGATGGTGGTCAGAGGGTCCGGTGGCGCCGGTGCATGGCAGCCTCGCTTCTGTCAGTGTGCCCCAGGGAAGCTGTGGCTACAGTGTAGTTTGCCATCATCRGTGTGTGAATGTGAGTGTGAATGGGTGAATGTCTGTTAGTGTAAAGCGCTTTGGGGTCTGGAGGGACTTGAAAAACACTCTATAAGTTCAGTACCATTTACCATTTAAGATTTTTTTAATACAGAGTTTTAGAAGGCACCCTTCACACCTAAAAAGGGTAGCGCCTCCTCATGATGTTGATCCTCGCTCTGTGGCTGCATGACTTGGGGGCACCTGTTCTCGTGAACAGGTGTTCTGAACTGTAATTTCCCCTTGGGATCAATAAAGTATCATTCATTCATTCATTCATTCATTCATTCATTCATTCATTCAAACCTGAGACAACTGGCGCAGCTTTCCCTCGAGGAGTGGACCAAAATTACTTTTTGACAGGTAGAAGTCTCATTGACAGTTACAGGAATCATTTAATTGCAGTGATTGCCTCAAAAGACTGTGCATCATTTTTGTCGAGGCCCGTTTCATTAGTTTGTTTTTCAAAATACCAATGTTGAACAAAAATTCAAAAGCAATGTATACATTTTTTTAAATTATTTGCTATACTTTTGTCAGTTTCAAGTTATTTCAGTGATCATTGTGGGCAGATGACCAAAAGTTTTGTCCACGTCTGTACTTTTTTGCATTGATAGTGTCTTTCCAAATGTTGAACCTGTTCATGCATTAAAAGCATTTATCAGCTGATGGCACAAAAGAAAGAATCAGGGCACAGGCATAATAATGCCTTGCTTGTTTGGAGATTTTGACTGTTAAAAATAGAGCAGGCACATTTTAAACAACACCTCATTTGTCTCATTGCAAAGTTTGTCCCTGAATAGTGAGCTTTAAACTAAATGATCTGTTAACTTGTTTTTGATTGGACCAAGATGACGCAACACAAAAGACCGGCATTGTTATAACTGTAAAGGACCTTCGAAGTAATCCACTCTGAGAAAGTTCAGACTAAGGTCGATGGAGTCTGATTCACTGGTTTGAAAGTTGAAGTGAAGAAGATGGAGCGAGAAAGAGACAACAATGATGTGAAACACCTCTTTTTTATCTTCAACACACCCACTCAAATGATCTGAGACGATGTGAGGACTAAAAACAAAAAGTTGCCTCTGATTCAAGTCTTCAACTTACAGGCTCACCTGCAGCTCCATGCTGCCATGGTTTAAAACACGAGTCCCATTCTCTGTCCCTGTTGCATGGTAGAATACTGCATGAACGTGCGTCTGTTATTCAGCCTGTACAAAGAAAAAGAAGAGAAGAAGCTGTCAACCGCTGACAAAGAGAGCCACGCCACATGACACTAAACTACAATACACTGGAGCTGATGGTGTTAAGCTACATTGTAGCCACAGCTGTCCTGGGCTCATTGACAGAGGTGGGACTGCCATGCACCTGCGCCACTGGACCCTCTGACCACCAACAGTAGGCAAGGCAGGTGAAGTGTCTTGCCCAAGGATGGGGGATCGAACTGGCAATCCTTCATTTACAGGACGACTCCCCTAACCACTCTACCACAGACGCCCAACTGGTTACCAAGTGCCTCAATTATGGCAAGTAATTTGCATATTTATTCATTTTCCTTGATTTCAAGCCAAATTTTCACCTACTAGTTGACAAATACACTGCACTAGTTGCACATTTAGTAGCACCAGCTCAGCATTTTAGTGCACTAGTTAAATAAATATTCTTATTAATAATAGTTTTTGCCAAGTAGTGGCACTTTTGACCAACTACAGTATGTGGAGCAGAACTCAAACTCATTTTGCTGCATTATTAGGCTAAAAGTCCCAAATAGTTGGCTTTTTTACCCACTAGAAGACCAATGAACCAAACTAGTAGAATACCTTCATACAAATGAACTAAAATTCTTACATGTGAACTAGTTGACTAGTGTGGCAAAAATGTTGATTATATGCTTACTGGTTAACTTGTATGACACAAATGTCAATAGAACTAGGATAAGATAAGATAAGATAAGATAAGATAAGATAAGATAAGATAAGATAAGATAAGATAAGATAAGACTTTATTGATCCCACAGCGGGGAAATTTGCTTCATCTACTTTGACACAAGTACCACTAGGCAAAAAAGTGGTATTAAAATGTTAGTGCAACCAATTTTGAAACCACTGTAGTGTAGTTWTGAACTTGTGGGCAGAAATTACGCTCAACATCAAGAATTTTTATCAAAATACAACCCCAATTCCAATGAAGTTGGGGCTTCAAATATAAAAAAGAATACAATATTTTGMAAATTCTTTTTAACAAAGACAAGATCTTTATTGTTCAAATGAATAAACTTTGTTTGTTGCACTAGTTTTGAATTTGATGCCTGAAATACGTTCCAAAAAGCTGAACCAAAGGCATGTTTACCACCTTTCCTTTTAGCAACACTCAATGAGCATTTGGGAACTGAGGCCACTTAATTGTTGAAGATTTGTAGGTGGAATTCTTTCCCATTTTTGCTTGATGTACAACTTAAGTTGCTTAACAGTCTGGGGTCTCTATTGTCATACTTTACAATTCTTCTGTCAGTGTGCCCCAGGGCAGCTGTGGCAACAATGTAGTTTGCCCCCATCAGTGTGTGAATGGGTGAATGATTTAAGTGCAAAGTGTTTTGGGATCCATGTGGATTTGATAATGCACTATATAAGCTCAAGCAGGGCTGGAGTGGGACTCATTTTCAGCCCTGGAGTGTCATACCTCAGACCGGCCCACTATAGATCAAGACATACTATTAAAGTCATATAAGTATAACCATTAATTCATCGATAATAGTGCACTGTTCTGTAAAGCCTTGTAATTTTGTGTGTTTTACCAAACTATTTCCAATTCAGTGCAAGTGGTGTTGATTCACAAAGTACATTTATTTCACCATGAGTGCTCATCTCCAGCATTATTCTTTACAACACATCCTTTTCAACAATATCAGAATCTAGGCTTTATTTTGTTCAAATAGGTGCATTGAAATAAAAAGAATAAATAAAATATTCAATTAACCTCTTAAGCCCCAAGGGGTTTTCTTGAGGTTTTTGCTCGAAATACCATGCTGAAATGAAATTGAGTGTATCTCAGCATTTACAAATTCTACTTAAATAATCTTGGTAACAAATAAAGCTAACACTTAGGAGATTTTGTTAGAAGTGTAAGTATTAAAACAACTGCTGTTGTTTTAGAGATATTGAGGATGGAACATAATTTTTATTAAAAATTTCTCCTGTCTGAATATTTTTTTCATTAGACAGTGTGTATATAACCCATTTAAAACCATAACKAAGTAGGCTAAAAACTCTTGGAAACCATAAATYCACTTGTGGACATTAGCTGTSCAACGATTCATGCTGCTAAAGTAAACTGGAGTAAAAATTAAAGAGGTAAGGTAAATAATTAGTAAAGRAATAATTATGTGTTTTGTCATTCTGCACAGGACAGACCATGATGGAACCATTAATAAATGCTAAGAAATCTAAAGTTTTTAATTGCAAAAGTTATTTATGTTTTCTTACSTGACTGAAAAGACTTGTTATTGAATGTTTGTTGTTTTGAAAATTTATCAAGTGTCATTATCACATCAAGGTTCAACTTACAGATCTTAGGTTAATAGAAGTTAAAAGAAATAGAAAACGGGAAATGTTGTTTTGCATGGGGCTCATGAGGATAAATAAAGTGTTGGACTTTCTAACAAAACTATGATTTCTTTTTTCTCTGCAGTGAAACATTTCCTTCACAACTTTCGTTTTACAAATATGAGAACAAGTTTTCGTCCTGGGCGTGGAACACTGGACCAGCTCTACACCCTCAGCAGGGTCCTGGAGGGTGCAAGGGAGTTCACCCAACTGGTCTACATGTGTTTTGTGGATTTGAAGAAGGCGTTCGACCGTGTCCCAAGGGGGGCCTTGTGGGGGGTTCTCCGGGAGTATGGGGTACAGGGC